AGTTCCGACTATTACTTTCTTTTCTGTATTGTTCTTTCTTCTGTGCCTCTACTAAAGATACCCATAAACTATTTTGCTGAATATCCGAATATCTTCTATATCCTGGGATATAGACGGACATTTGGTTAAATATCCATATTGGATATATTTGAATATCCACAAAATATATTCTGTGATTTCTTGTAATTTCTGGAAGATACCCATTAGATATTTTGCTGAATATCCATTAGGATATCTTCTATATCCTGGATATAGACGGACATTTGGATATCCATATTAGATCCACGGAATATTTCTGATATCCTGTGGATATATTGGATATCCACAAAAGATATTCTGCGGATATCTCTGAGATTTGGTGTGTTGTCTGGGAAGATCAGCTGGATTGTCATCGTGTCAGAAATTAATACCTGTCAATGTTTGTATTTCACTGACTCGATTGGCAATAAATGTTTTCCATCTACTGGGAGAACCAAGACAAAGTTATCATAGAATCTGTCCAATAGCTAAAATTTATTTCTAAAACAGATGTCACTTTCTTAATCAATTGAGCCAATAGAACAGCTCCACAAAGTTCTAGTCTCGGTAAAGTGACACTTTTGATCCGAGCTACAGGAGACTTTGAACATAACAAATTCGAAACTATCTGTCCTGAAAACGAAGAACATCTTATACAGGGTGTTATTGAAATACACGTACATATTAAAACTGGGTATTGCGCAGATCCCCACTGAATGTAGAAAAATATTATTTTTTAAAAATACCCCTTATTAAGGGAGTTATTAATTTTTGAAAATTAATTCTAAAACAAACGTACTTCACTGATATGTTGAGGATGACCTATATAAATTAGGTTTATTTACCTATTTTAAACATCAACAGTAATTAATATGCAAGTTTTTGTCAGATGATAAGAAAACTAGTCTTGTAAGAAATAACCATGTTGCCAAGATTTTCGAATTAATTTCTATTTCCGAAGACTGGTTTTTACTACCCTCGTTATCAAAAAACTAGAATATTTGATAAATGATTTATTTTAAACTATACATTTTTGAAACTATAGATTATTAAAATTTTAGTTGATTTACGAATCTGGCTAACACGAGCGCGTCATTTCCAAGTTGGTAAAAAGTGTTGTTACGATTACTTTTAAATATTTTTTTACGATGCCACTATTTACGAATATTGAACTAACGGATATAGTGCTGGTTTATGGGGCAGCTGGAGAAAATTCTCGGCAAGCACAAATCCTGTATCGCGAACGGTTTCCAAATCGGAGAATTCCGGACTGTCGTACGTTTATTTCAACTGTTCAGCATCTAAGAGACCATGGAAAATTTGAGAGTGTCAATGCAGATCGAGGGAGAATAAGAACACAAAGAACATTGGCGGCCGAAGAAGAAATATTGGAAGCTGTTGAAAACCGGCCTCAATTAAGTTGTAGAAGAGTAGGTCTTGAAATTGGAGTGTCCTCATTTGTTGTGTGGCGGACACTTAAAGAACAAGGTTTACATCCTTATCACATCCAAAAAGTCCAGGCCTTATATCCAGGTGATGAAGAAAAGAGAGTGGAGTTTTGTGAATGGATGATTCAAAAACGTGTTGATATTCCTGATTTTCTAAAAATATTATTGTATACTGACGAGGCTTCATTCACTCGTGATGGCGTGTTCAATATGCACAATACGCATATTTGGAGTGATGAAAATCCTCACGTCATAAGGGAAACTGGGCATCAAAGAAAATTTTCAATAAATGTTTGGGCTGGCATAATAGATCAGTATTTAATCGGGCCTTATGTTCTCCCGAACAGATTAAATGGGCCAGGATATCTCCACTTTTTAGAAGATATTTTGCCAGTACTCCTAGAAGAGATACCGTTACAATTAAGACAACGGATGTGGTACCTACTAGATGGCGCTCCTCCTCACTTTGATTTAAACGTACGGCAGTTTTTGAACATTAGATTTCCTCAAAAGTGGATAGGCAGAAATGGACCTACTAAGTGGCCTCCGAGATCTCCGGACTTAAATCCATGCGATTTCTTTTTGTGGGGTCACATGAAACAACTGGTTTATAATGAACCTATTAATAGTGTTGAACAATTAACCAATAAAGTTAATGCGGTAGCCGAGGAACTACGACAAAATCCAAGATTAATTTCTAATGTTCAGAGTTCTTTGGAAAGACGATTGCAAGTGTGTGTAAATAATAATGGACGGCATTTTGAACAATTACTGTAAAACTTTATTTTGAATTAATTGGTTTTGCTACGGCAACAGTGCAATTTCTATGGGTAAGTTCAATTTCGATTTATTTTACTTCTTTAAATATGGAAACTAGTAGGTCGGAAAAGGGGACTCTTCCCCAATATTTAAATTTTAGAATTTGAAGTTAAAATTGGTGCCAATCGTTTTTGGTCATTACATACTATTCCCCATTTTAATATGTACGTGTATTTCAATAACACCCTGTATATACACATGCTCCGTAAGCCCTTTCTGAAGCATCAGCGAAACAATGTAACTCCACAGAATAGCTGTCAAAAATGTGGAGGTAAATCATTCTGAAAATTCTCCCATCTATTCGCAATTGCCAAAGGAACCTCTTCGTCCCATCCTAGCTTTAACTTCCACAAATCCTGCATTATAAGTTTAGTTACAACAATAGACGCTAGGCCCAAAGGCCTAAAGGATCAAATATTTGACACGTAACAGACAAAATAATTTTTTTTTGTTAGTTTAGACGTCAATTTAAAATCTTTTATTTTATATGGTATTGAATCGTTATCTGCATTCCAATAAATTCCTAAAGTTTTGTTTTGTTAAGTTTAAAATTATTTAATGTTTTTATCATTTGACAGCCATTTGCGGAGTTCAAAACCTGCCGTTAATAAAGTTTTTTGCAATTTTAATATTTTTTCTATAGAATCTGTTCCAGTTAGCATGTAAAAGTCTCGAACAATAATGTGTGACTCTTCAGGAAATTCTTTTTGATTTTCCTCTGCTAACTGCATAAGACACCTCACCGCCAAGTAAAGTGAAGATGCCATGCCATAGACAATTTTGTTTATTTTATAAATTTTTAATTCTTCTGTGTGTTCATACCGCCAAAGAATTTTTTGATAGTGTTGGTGTTTTTCATTCACTAACACCTGTCGATATATTTTTGAAATATCAGCAGTCATTACATAATTGTGTATACGAAATCTGCTTAAAATCGAAAAAACATCTTGTTGCAGTGTAGGCCCTACATGTAACACGTCATTTAACGATACCTCTGAACTTGTTTTGGCAGAAGCATCAAAAACCCTACGACATTTTGTGATGAGGCAAAAAATAACTCTGTAAGTTTTCACGATTATTTGAATCAATATTTCCTATCAAAGTCATGTGACCTAAATTTTCAAACTCATGTATAAACTCGGAATGTTTTTTTAAATGTTTATTTTTAATTAACCGTTTTTCTAACAAATTAAATCTATTTGCTGCAATACAAAATGATTCGCCTAATTCTTTTGTTTCTTTAAAAGATTCATTTCGTAAAGTATTTTCTCTAAAATTATCCTCACAAAAAGTCTCTGAATTAGTTAAATATTTTTTATTTTCAATTTCTTCTACCGTCCAGAATTTAGTTAATTTTTCATCTACCGATTGTAATGTCATAAAACATGCTGATCTTTTCTCTTTTTTATTAGGAATACAAATATCTCCCGCTACTAACCAACCAAGTAAAGTATTTTGTAAAAATGGCGCGTTTGGGCCAAGCCTTCTCTGCCCATTAGCAACAATTTTCCAAAATACGATTGAACCAAGTAAACTATCAATTTCTCTAGTTACATTAAAATATGGATCCGCCAAAACAAGTCCATCTGGTATATTTATATTTTTATCAAAAGAATAAGTCGGCAAGTCTCCCGAAATTTTATTCAAAATTAAACATCTTATTTTTGAATTAAAATCACTAATTTTTTTAACAATCAATGGATAACGGTTAGGGCTTTATTAGATTCGGGTTCACAAAATAATTTTATTACGCATAATACGACACGTACCTTAAATGTGCCGAAAATAAATTTAAAACACACTGTTGCAGGCATTGGAGAGTGCTCAATATTTATTTCGGAGCAAGTAGATCTTGAATTAAAATCACTATTTTTGATCTAATTTCAAGATCTACTTGCTCCGAAATAAATATTGAGCACTCTCCAATGCGTTTTAAATTTATTTTCGGCACATTATGCGTAATAAAATTACTTTGTGAACCCGTGGGTCGTTGTAAATATTTTCTGGGAAATATTTCTCAACGATATTTGGACTTAACATACTAGACATACTACCGGTGTCTATAAGGAGTTTTAAGGGTGGAATTTGTATAACTATATATGGCAAATCCGCAGAATATGAATTGGAAAATATTTCGTTGTTTATGTTCCTTGTTTTACACCGGCTGTTTTCAAAAAATTTTCGCCACGCTGATAGTCGAAATTACTAGGGTCAGAATTTATAGAAATTTTATTATTTTCCGAGTTTGAATTCATTTGATGATTCGGTAAATAACTTTCAAATTCGTAATCGATTTGATCGATAGGAGTTTCCTCAAATGGTCATTATTCTAAATCTACATATCCAAACATTCTGAATTCTTTTGATTATACGTTATATCTCCTGTCCATTGAAGGCACAGTTCCTGCTTCTTTGCATAGATTTTCAGCTCATTAATAATTTTATAATCAAAAAATCATTTAAATAGAAGAAAATAACAAAATATCTCCAAGAAAAAAGCCAAGAAAGTTTCGAAAGTATATGTTAATCATATTTATTTATCTAATAACCCAAACCAACAACAAAGTGTACATAAAAATGAAAATTTATAAAACTTACTATTAGAAAAACAATGAAAGTTTTTTCCTATAATACCAATTTTTTCAATTATGTATCTGTAAGGAAAATATTTATCAATGCACATAATTTTGTTTAACTGAGAAATAAAAAATAAACCTCTCGTCATATTTAGTAAAATACCACACATTTCGTTTTAAATGTTTTCTTTATATCTATAAAAAATGATATAAATAAAAAATTTCTTTTACTAAGGTCTACCGTGACTAAATTCCTAAGTTTTTAACGAGAAACCATGACATTATCAATATAAAAAACTTTATCACGATAACGGTGTTATAATTAAATACAATTTTACTTCAACCTTGTCGTGTATACACGTTCTCATACCAGGATAGGTAAGGGTTGGAATAAAAAATCGACTTCTGTGTACAATATTGATTTTATCACGTTTAAAAATTCATGAATCTCGAAAAATTAATACGAAGCTTGTTATATGGCAATCAGTCGTCATTTACATCTAACAGCTGAGTTCCAAGGCCCGCATTGGAGGTGGATGACGTCCATATTTTTAAAATCATGCAGGTACGTCAGTTTGTAGTAATTTTCTTGTGCGAATTTTGTTAATTGATGATATTTGTTCCATCCGCATCCGTATAATTGTTTGTTATCTAAAAAAAGTTGTGATATATCTATCAAAGGTTGTGTATAGTAGGGGCAGAAGTTGGAAAGGCTTTTGTTAGGTAGAGAGGGGGTAAACGTCAAACCAAGTCTGCCAGTGTCGTTTCATAAAATAAGTACTTTTAAATTGTTGTTTTAAATTTTATACAAAATAGAGTATTTTTGACATCGATTTACGATGAGATGTAATTTTAATTTAAGGGAGAGACATAAAAAAAACAAGTGAAAATTTCGAAAAATGCCCATTATGTAAAATCGAATAAAGATAAAAAATTAAAACTAAAACTATCGAAAAGAGAATCCAATTTTATACAAAATAGAGTATTTTTAACATCGATTTACAATGAGATGTAATTTTAATTTAAGGAAGAGACATACAAAGTAAGTGAAAATTTCGAAAAATGCCCTTTACGTAAAAACAAATAGAGATAAAAAATTAAAACTAGAACTATCGAAAAGAGAATACAATTTTATACAAAATAGAGTATTTTTAACATCGGTTTACAATGAGATGTAATTTTAATTTAAGGGAGAGACATACAAAGTAAGTGAAAATTTCGAAAATTGCCCATTATGTAAAAACGAATAGAGATAAAAAATTAAAACTAACGAAAAGAGAATTTAATTTTATACAAAATAGAGTATTTTTAATATCGATTTACAATGAGATGTAATTTTAATTCAAGGGAGAGACATAAAAAGTACGTGAAAATTTCGAAAATTGCCCATTATGTAAAAACGAATAGAAATAAAAAATGGACAGTAGAACTACCGAAAAAAGTTATGCTAACAACCACAAACATTTATATAGAATCCTTCTATACTTTTGTCAAAACATAATTCAAATTTTTATAATATACAAAACACTGGACATTTTCAAAATTTTTAAAGAAATAATAATTGCTATATGAACCGAAATGTTAATACTATGAATCCTAATTATGATTTTTACAAACCAAATTTTTATCAAAATGATCAAAGACCAAATTATTTTTCAAATAATTATCCCAGAAATAATTTTGAAAATTCCCATTACAGAAATCAAAATCCAGTAAATAATCAATACAAAACTAATTTTAATAATTTTCCTTGTCAACCTATAAATGTACAACCAATTTTTCAATTAAATTAAAATATATTTTACTAATTAACAAGTTTTGTGACCATTAAGACCAAAAAATGTTTTCAAGCCAAATCAAATTCCAGAAAGCCAATTGTCTAAACCAGAACCGATGTCAACGACATCAAGAAACCCTTCTCTTCAATCAAAGAGACAATTTTATAATAAAAGAAATTTCCAAAATTATAATTCAAGACCAAATTTCACTTTTGAAGAATTACATTCTAATTTTTGCAATGATACCAATTTAAATAACAACCATGATTACAAGTTTTGAAAATCCTAATCAAATTAAATTTGAAAATGAATCAATTAAAAAAGGTGACTTTGAACAAAATTTTCAGGTACCGGCCTCATTGAAAACAAAAAGATAGTACAATTTCATAATATCTCAAACAATACATTGCCTTACATAGAAATACGGTAACCCAACTCAAACTTTTAGTCGATACAGGATCTTGTAGGTCAATAATAAAACCTTCAGTAATATACAAATATTTTCCGCAAACAATTTACCATTCAGAACTTATCTTATCCACAAGCATGGGATGTCAAAAGATTGATTATCAAGCCTTAGTGCCAGCATTTACACAATTTAATTCTGATAATAAATACATAAGACTTTATTGTTTACGATTTTTATACAACTTTTGATGGCGTATTAGGTTTAAACGATTTAATAAACTTGAATTTGATTATAAACAAAAGTGAATAGGTGATAATTTTGAAATTCTATTTAAATATAGTCCAGCCAAAGAAACAATACTTTCTTGTTGTGAAGTCATAAAAATGAATAAAAAAAAAAGGAAATAATTTAGGGACTATTCCTTCTTTATTAAATAAAAATATATCGGAATTCAACAATTTTGAAACTAAATTTACAGAAGATATTTGTTTTGAAACAAACATGTATAAACTTTTTGAAACTGACACTATTAATAATAATTCATACTAATTTAGATAAAAATAATTTAGTAGACGATGCAATATTTCCAAATAAAGTGGACGAATTTAATACTTCAGAAACCGATTCTTTAAATATAAATGATATTGATGAAATAGTTCAATCTCTTAAGGATTCTCTGAATCAACTAGTCTTTCCTAAATTATGTCAAAAAATAGATATTATAGATAAAGATCAAATATTTGATATAGATCAACTATATAAATTAAATGTTATGCCGAACGATAAAGAGTTTTCTAAAATAAATCAGTGTGTTAAAAAAGAATTTACATTATCAAATAAAAATATTGAAAAATAGAATAAATACAACATATAAATGCCAGAAAAATTGAAAAAAGAATTTTTATTACCTAATAATAAAATTAAGACAAAAATGAAAAAACCGGGTACATATAAATGTAACAGAAAGAGAATAAAATTTAAAAGTTTTTCAAACTTTAAGAGAAAAGGAACAAAATTTAAAAAACTCCTACTAGTTAGTTTTAGAAATAAACCTAGATTTATTTAAAACATACCATATAATTTTAATTTTATAAAAAATAAAAAAAAATGTTTAATAAACCTAAAACTTACTAAGTTACTATTTTTTTTTTAAATCATAACCATTTTGGATACCCTGTAAATATCTATGATTTGAAAAATGTCTTTAATTGTATCTGTTTGAACGACATGAACTTAAAATTACTTATAGGCCAAACATACCAGGCTGGTAAGTGTTAATGAACATTCTTGCAACTGGCTGTCATACTTGTCTATTTAACATGTACATTGTATTATATTTTGAGGATTTTATTATAATATTACAAACATTTAACTGTTATTTTTAGAAAACTACTCATGTAAAAAGGCTAATAAACATATTTGAGTTTTAATAAATAAACAAATAACAAATAGACAAATAAACAAATACATATTTTGACTTACCAAAGAACACTATCGTATGCCGACTACCACAAGCAACAAGTACAGCATTCAGCTCTTCATCATCAAAATCAACAACGTGTGGTGAAGCCATAACCGAGACAAATTTTTTATCATCTTCTTCTATTCCCAGTCCCAACTGCCCATTGCTGTTCCATCCCCAGACATATAGATCGCCGTCTTGACTAATAGCGCATGAATGCCAATTTCCAGCTGCAATTTTTTTTATTTTTATACCAGCTAATGCTTCTACTAATTTTGGTTCAATTTCATCGTCCAGTTTTCCATGGCCCAGCTGACCATGGCTAAAACAAAAGAACGTTATGTTTTAGGAAAAGATTTGCAAAAACAGGTAATGATATCGTTGTATGAGAACCATAGAAATAATATAGAAGACCAATATAAACATAACATTTAAGCAGAAATTGAAACCTACTGTGCATAAAAACGCGTCTCTGCGCCTGACATCGCAAAATAGTGTGTCTAGAAGCTTGCGCAATATGCATGACTTGTCCCTGTAGTGTTGCCAAATATATTAAACATACCTAACAGAAAAGAATTTTAAATTAATTAATTTTTAAATTATATGATTTAAACAGTTTATATCTACGAAATATCGCCACAAAATAACTTATAAACATTTAAATAATCAACTAATAATATTTATGTGTAATTACATTCCCAAAAATATATACAAATACCGTATTAATGTCATTAATACCGTATTTTTAATGTTCAATAAGCGATTCACCTACAAATTCAATATTGACCTGGCAATAGCACTAAAATCCGGTGTTTCAAGGCTATATGACGCTGCCCTTACAGGACCGTTTGTAGTTTATTATTTATGCAGCGTTTGAGAATCCACATCGGATGCATCTGAGATGTAGTAGTAGTAAATCTTTGATCACGTGATTCAGTATACGTAAATGTAATGGGACAGATGTGTCCGATGTGGATAAAAAACGCTCGAGATGTAAAAAATGCATTCGATGTGGATTCTCAAACGCGGCATTAATTACATGATGAAAGTGGCATTTTATTTTTAGTTTTGTGTAGTGTTTAGTCAAATCCTAGGTACAATAAAAGACATTTTTACATTGGCTAATGAAAATGTAATCAATGTATTAGGCAGCTGTTATATTTATTACAAGATTTATGTCTGCAAATCTAAACCTACCTAAGAATTATAATTATGTAAATAGAGAGCTGTATATTTATATACAGGCTGCCCAGCGACGGGGAGACATTATCGATATCGGTTTTAAGGCATTTTAAAACATTAACCCGATCTCAACAATCTTAGGAACTCTTCTGTCACTCGATATTTTAATCGGTACTTCCTCTTCGCTTTTTGGCTGGCACAACAATTATTTACATTTCTTCATTCCTTACCGCGTTCGAACCAGTAAGGTTTAAAGAAATTTAAAAAAAAAACCTACTTTAAAAATAAAGATGTTAATGATTTTCTTATGGATCCCATCTTCAAATCTTGACTTAATGTATATAAAACTGTTTCCTTTTCTAACAAAAAGAATCCTAGAAATCGGGCAACGTGGTAAAGAATTATCGCTCAACGTACTTAAAAAAATATTTCAACGATTGAGAATATCCTACCATTTTGAAGTATGTTAAAAAAAAATTGTTAATAAAGTGAAAAGTAGGGCATGAACATATATTATAAAGTATATAAAATGATAGATAAATCCAGTTTAGAAGGTATTATAAATAAACTGTAGAAATATCGAAAATCTCGATTTTGAATCGGAAAAATATTCTACGCAATTTAGTATGAAAGCTAATCAAAATGAAACACATGAACGACAAACTGTTATTGACAACTTTCTTCAAACGTTTTCTATTTTTCCGAAAACTAACTAGAGTTCGAAAATCATTTCCTTCGTTAAAACGCCTCTTGTTCCGAAAAAGGTACACGCCTGTCAACATTCATCGTTCATTAAAAAAGTGGTAGATACAAAACGCTTCGTATTGTAAGGCCAAAATATATTTAGAAATCGAAATAGTCATATAAACAAAAAAATCATATGAGTGAGATAACTACCAAATTAATGATTTACAAGTTTATTCCTATTATTTATAAAATAGGTTTGCAATGTGCTGGCGTGGAATGTTATCATCGACTAAAAACTTTAAATCTTTGTATTAAATTGATCGAAAACAAACTATAAATTGGTTTAGGCTATATAGAATGTTTCTAGTAAGCAGCAACTAATTTTTATTAATGAACCGAAAGACCCTTTTAAAAGGGTTCAAAATTAAAATAAAATATGTACCAAGTAAATGTAGTAGTATTTTTTAATTTTTTAATTTATATTGAAAATGGTAACATGAAAGGTTTTCTGTCTAACGACTCATAGTCTCGGCTGACAAAATGTAAAAAAATATCGAACATAATATTCCTGGGCCCTATTTTGCACTCCCCAGATTAAATTTAGTTGTTGCAAATGATATTATCAAATAAGATGTCAAATCACAAGCAAAACCTCGTGACTACAGTACTAATGATTGCCTGTTTGGAAAAGTATCTTTGTTTGTAAATATTTATCCGCCCATTATGTATATTCGTTTAGTTACCGACCCTAGTAGATAGGCAATTTGTTATTGTTTTAAGTTTTACCGTAGGGAGAGAGAAAATCAATATTAGGATAAATGGTCCAGCTCCTTTCTGGTTACGTAGGTACCTAAAAAGTATTTTAGTTTTTGGTTAAGTAATTAATTATTGTAACAGTGATTTTCTTGTGATAGTACCTAATTTAGATTGTGGATTAAAGTTTTTGTATATAATTTCGCTGTTTAATAATAAACGTAGTCAAAACCGGAGCACGTGGTTTTTCTGGAAAGTATTTTTAAAATCACAAGCAAAATCTCATGACTACTGTACTAATGATTGCCGAAAATTAACTAATTCATATTTTATGCCATATCTTTCTTAATAAGGACTGTCAGAACCATATTTACCTGAACTTGAAATTTTTTTAATCGTTTTTTGTATAGAATCATCTCTAAAAATGTATGATTGAAATGTGTGAACTATTTGTTCGATCAATAAAAAACTTGCACCGGTCCTGTTCGCGCCAGCACCGTTATACGCATGAGCTCCGACACACTATTTTCTCCTTATGGTTTCATTTTTGATATATGGAATCGGCTTTCTATACTATTTCTATGATGAGAACGCTATAAATAATATGCCGAAAAGAATGATTTCATTTGAAATAAATCAGGCCCGTAATGAAATATTACTACTGGGAAATTTTGACGTAGGATTAACGGATTCAATACGTTTTGCAATTAACACAGTGTTTTTTAAAAAGTTTTATACACATGAGAAATAATTTGATGTTTGATTATGGATTCTTATATGATGCAGAATATTTTTTTTTAACAAAGCCTTTTTGCAACGTCGTTAACAAAAATATCTGAATACACTTTGTTGTGGTGCTCAAAGAGCACGTCGCAACCCATTACACAGTGTGTTCCAGAAAGCTTTACATGCATGTGAAACACCAGAAAAATGTTACGTATCTTTCGGATGATGCCAAAAATAAAACAAAGTAATATGAAATAACTTAAAAATATGGGCAATGATTTACATTGAGTACATATTTTAATTAGTATCAACATTTTTCTTACGACCGTGTATTTTTACCCACTTTTCCGCACGCATTTTAGTTTTGAAAGTGTCACTTTCCCGCACTAGTGCGGGAAAAAATCACTTTCCCGCACTAGTGCGGGAAAGTAAAATTATGAATATTTGGCCTTACCTATTGTATAGTTTTTTTACCTCGGATGTTATAACTATTGTTACAATAGGTAATTTAGTATTTTCCAACTATTCCATTTAATAAAATTTACTGTGTATTTAACATTAATATCCATAATAATTAGTTGTTTTTATTTAAAGATTTGTATATGTTGAAATAAAATAATTTTCCAAAAATAATTTTCCCTACTTTTTTGTATATACGGTCGTAGAAAAAATAATGTTACTAACTCATGCGCAAAGTGTCTTTCCCGCAACTGCAGTAGCGTGCGGGAAAGTAACACTTTTCGCACTTGTTAGGAAAATAACTATTAATTAATATTTTGCTCTATGTTAAAATTTAAAAGTATTTTATTCTATTATTTTTATTTTCCTATATTTTACAAAATTTAATGTTTGATTATGGATTCCCAACAAAACTTTTTCTGATGCGTACACATTTTTTTAGATTGTAACATGCTCTTTGAGCACGTTATTAACAACAATATCTAAATACACTTTGTTATTAACGCAATCTATTACAAAAAGAAATGTTACTCATCGCCCTACAATGTACTGCGGTCTTCATAAATAAAAGTACCAGTAAAAGAAGATAAGATAGTCCAGAAATGTCTGAAAATGCATTATTTGTCAAGAACAATCAAAACGATAGTTCCAGAAGGGTCAAGCAAGTCAATGATCATGTGCGGTGATCGGACCTCTACTGCCTTGGAAGAGGAATGCCAGATGTAATAGACATTGCAGTCATCAGAGACTGCACATTTCCCCTCGAAATGTTCACTCTGCACGAAGGAGTCTGAGCACACAAACCCACTCTTCCTTGACCTCAGAGCGGGAGAAAGGGCGGACGCTCCGAAAGAAATGTCGAAAACAAATTGGAAACAATTTGAAAGGATAGAGGGAGGAAACCTGGGAAACATTCCCAGAATCGAGGTCCCAGTAGACGACGACCAGGCTCTTGAAACCCTAGAGCAATTCATCCAGCAGTCACTTGCCTCTAGTACGACCACAGTGACAGTAGCCAAGCCCCAAAAATTCAATAACATCAGTCAGACCACGCAAAGTGCTGGAATATGGTGGCGAATGACCGAACCATGGAAGGTGTAAACATTCAAGACGCTCATAGATTATAAGATTTCTCTTTCAGAATACGCTTACAGAATATAACACGTGATGTAGACAAGGACTGAGCAACAGACGATAATTCACCTGGGGGAGAAGGTCCTCCTAGTCATCAATGGAGACTGGGAGAGCTTTCACAGGTGGCGAACTCTCACAGAATGAGCACACACAAGATAAACAAACGGACAACGAAGGAAATGCCCACAGCTAACCCTGTCTAAATGATAATATGTCATCCTTCACATCCCTTTAAGAAGGACCGGCATACTAATCAGATGGATTGAACTTGAGGCCCCCTGAGTGAAGTTGTCGGAGGGGGGGCGGGAGGGTTGGTGGGGTCAGAAGGGTTTCGATCCAGTAAAACAGGATGGGAACCTACCCGACTTGGGCTCAAGTAAG